CCCGCCCGACAGGTCGACGACCAGCGCCAAGCACCGCGCCTTGCGCAGCGGCGCCAGGAAGGCGGCCCCGCGGCCACGGCCCTCGTGGGCGCCCTCCACCAGGCCGGGGGCGTCCGCCATTGTCAGGGCGCCGCCGTCCGGGTAGCGCAGGACGCCCAGCTGGGGCCGCAGCGTGGTGAACGCGTACGACCCCACCTGCCGGGGTGTTGTTTTTGGTTTGGGGGGGAAGAGGGGCGGGGATGAGCCGTGAGGACAGGAGCAGTGTGGGGGCGACCATCGGGGTTGTGCGGTCGGCCTGCGTCAGGAGTGACCTGGGGCTGGTGTCGGCGGGCTGCCGGCCCTGGGCTGCTAACACCGCGCGCGGTCAGGCGGTTGCGAAGCAGTGGAGGAGCCGGGGCTTGGGGGCCCCAGGGGGGGGGTGACGAGGAGGGGCCGCGGGCATCCCGCCCCCGCCTCCTACCTGCGCCCTCGCGCCGGTCAGCGCGGCCACGAGGCTGCTCTTGCCGACGTTGGGCAGCCCCACCAGCACCACGTCCGCCAGCAGCCGCGTCTCCAGCAGCAGCACGCGCCGCTCCCCCGGCCGCCCGTCCTCCCGCTCGCGCGACGCGGGGCCGTAGGGCTTGGAGGGCGACGTCGAGCTGCCGCGGCCGCCGGCGCCGCCCGCGGCAACGGGCAGCAGCTGGCCGTCTTCTGAGATCTCCCCGAGGAGGGTGGCGTGCTTCTCGAGAATCGCGCGGACCTGGGGTGGGGTGGTTGAGTTGAGGCGCGGTGCAGGATTGGGAGCTGGGAGGGTGGACGTCCATTGGGGCGCTTCAATTGCGCCAGGTGCGCCAGGGTGGGAGCGGCTTCTCTGTGGGCGTTCAGGCGACAACGGCAGTCAGCTGGCCGGTCAAGGGTGGCCGCGGGGCACCCTTGCACCACCGCCGCACACTGCTATCAACACAGAAAGAAGCCTGCATTGCAAGGGTTTGCTTGTTTCTGAAGCTGTCAAATACGTGCCGCGCACACCTATGCATTTGTGCACCCATACACATATGCAGGCGTGCGCACGTGTGAATATCATCACACACATGAACGCCCGAAAGCAACGGCCCGCCCGCTTGTATACACATAGGCACACAACCATCAGTGTGTGTGCACGCGCGCACCTGACGCCGAGTCAGCAGTGGCTTCTCGTCATCCCCCATATCCTCCTGCTGCACCCTCTCCCATGCCGCCCTCCAATCCTCTTCCTGCTCGTCATCCTCCTCCTCCCCTTCATCCCCCTCCTCTGCCTCCCCCTCGTCCGCTTCCCGCTCCTCCCCCTCGCCCTCCTCTGTGGCAGCCAATCGACGCCCCCCGCCGCGCCCCCGCCGGCCCGGCCGCGATGGCGGCCGCGGCCGGCGCCGCTGCGCGAGGCGCTCGCGCTCCCGCGCCTCCTCCTCTTCCGCTGCCGCCGCCGCGGCCGCCTCCTCGGCAGGGCTTGGCTCGAGGCTGCCCCTCAGCCACAGCCGCCGCTTCTCGTCCGCGCTGGGGACCAGCTCTCCCGCTACCAGCTGGTGGTACAAGATGTCGCCCTCGCTCTCGACAGCCCCTTCGTCTGCCGCATCGCCACCCCGTGTCGCCGCCGCGCCGCCTCCATCACCCAGGCCAGCGCCGGCGCTGCCGTTGGCATCTGTGCCGCTGCTGCCTTCGGTTGCAGCGCCGCCGCCGCCGCTCCCGACTCCGTCACCGCCAGGGCTGCTCCCGCCACAGCTGCTTTGCTCCTCACCAGAGCCCTGTGGGTGGCCTGCGCCTCCCGCTTCGTCCTCCCAGCCGCCCGGTCCAGCCTGCGGAGGGCCCCATTGGTCGCCGCCGCCACCCCGGCCAGGACCGCCAAACAGCGGAGGGCGCCCGTGCGGCGCCCTGCCCGGCCACGCTGAGGTCGCCGCCGCGCCACGTGCTGCCAGGCCGCCACTGGCGCCCGCCTCGTCCCCCGGCCACCCGCATTCTTCGCCGCCGCCGCCGCCGCCGCTGTCAGCGTCCTCTGCATCCCACCACTCCTGATCCGGCCTCAGCGCCTGCACGCCACGCGACTCTGCTGCGGCATGCCCCTGCCGGGCCCCGCCGCCCCTGCCTCGACGCCCGCCGGAAGCTTCTTCTGCCTCGGCAGCTGCGTCCCGCTGCAGCACGGCAAGCTCCCAGACCAATGTGCCCAGCGGGACCTCCACAACTGTGGGCTCGCCCCTCTTGCCCTCCTGCGCGGATTTCAAAAGCGGGCGACAGGTGGGAGCCATCCGTTCAGCGACGAGAGACTCCTACCATGTGCTGTGCTGGTGCTCTACAGGTTTCTGAGCACCCAGGCACCGACGCCAATCCACCACTGCAGACCGTGCTTACGCTTGGTCACCGTTGCAGAATTGGGACCCTGCTTTTGGGTTTTTCCTAGTGAGTGAATTTGTGTGATTCAGACTGGCCTTGCTCGGCACAAGCAGTGCTGCTGAGGGGAGGCGCGGCTCACCATCCATTGCTTGCCGCCATGGGCGCCCATCTGCCCAAAAACGTGCTTTGGTACGCCGCCGAGGCCCAGCAGGCGCTTCGCGCCCTGAAAGATGACGTCACCGCCCCGGCCGCCGTGCCCGCCAGCGGCGCGGGGGAACTCGCCTGGGCGGCCGCGACGAGGCGGCAGGCGTGGGGAGCGGTCGTGGGCGTTTTGGGGGCAGGCGCTGAGCGGGCGCGGCAGCAGCAAGCACTGGGGCGCGCCTGCCTCAGCCAGTCTGTAGATGGGACGGAGACTGACAACCCACCAGTGCGTGCGAAAAGGTCGGCCGAGCCACCGCCGCCTTTGCCGCCAGCCACCTCGACCACGAGCCTGTCGACAAACTTTATTTTTTGACTCAGCGCCGGCTTGTCACGGTGCTTTGGGATAGTATACGCACTGCCATCAGACGATGCAGCGTTGACTGTCGCCGCTGCATCGCTGCTGCTGCTCGCGCTCCGCACTGAGGTCGCATGGGCCGGCGGCGCGCGAGGCTTCACAATAAGATGGAGCGCCTGAATCAGTAGGCTGGCCGCTGGGCAGTTAGGTGCAGCGAAACGGGGCGAGATCATAGTGCCAGTGCCCCGTACAGCATTACAAACTTGCCTATCTACCGCTACCGTGCTTGTTCGGCTTACAAAGCAATAGTTGCATCACATGTCGAGCACCTTGTCAAGCGCCTTGGCAGCATTAGATGCAGTGACGGTGCCGAGAGCAGGCAGTGAGCCGCCGCCGAAGCAGGCCCTTGATCACAAGCCGAAGATCCCAGCACGGGGCACTCACACGCAGCCATGGCAAACACAGAGCAGAATCCTGTCAACTTGAATCAGCAACTGGCTCTTAAACAGGCAGCGGCGCTATGGCCGTTTGGCGCAGCGCCTGCGCTGGCCCGCGAGTTCGGGGAGTGCGTGCTGCGCTTGCTGGATAAGAAAGCCGTGCAAGCCCTGCGGCTGACCAGCCGCGCGGCAAGGGTGTTCAGTGACAGCTGCCTGCAGGTCGTCCACGTCTCGTGCGCAGCGCAGATTGCTGACCTCGCCGCCGCCGCGCCCCGGCTGGCCGTGCTGCGCGAGCTCAACGTCACCTTGGAGTCCGCTGCTGATGTCGCCGCGCTCGCAGCGGCGCTCCCCAGTCTGGGACGGCACTGCCGCATCAAAACCCTTGACGTCATCCATGAAGACGACAGCGGGCAGCCCGATCTGGCGGTGCTGCAGCTGCCGACAGCGCTGGGGCGCCTGGCGACCCTCTCAGTGTGCATCAGTGGCCACGCTCAAGGGAGCAACGCGGCCGCCGAATGCCGCGCAGCCTATGTTGCTGCAGCGGCACGGCTCCCTCTGCTAGAACGCCTGTCCATCGTCAAAGATGATTTGGGTGCTTTGATCGTGCTGCCCAGGCACTGTGACGCGCTTCGCCTGGGATCTTGGCCACTGTTGCAGGTGGGCTGGGGCGATGCGGTTCGAGCTCAGGGGCCGCCTGTGATATCACGTGTTTATGAGCGCCTGCGTGGAACTCTGGTAGTGCGCAGCTGCTGTTCACGGCGCTTGGCTGCTGCACAAAGCGTCCTCTGCCCCGCCTCACTCATCCAACGCCAGGAGCTGACCCTCAGCCACGCCAGCCTGCCAGAGCTGTGCGCCCTGGCGGCGCTCGAGATGCCGCGCCTCACGACGCTGAATTTTTGCTCTGGCAGCAGCGGCTTTGACCAGCTCAGCTCTGGCGCTGACGGCCGCGTTGCAACCGGCATGCGGGCGGTGGCGGGCGCACCCTGGTTCAGCAGGCTGCGGTCGCTCACCATTGACTGCGAGGAGCCGCCCACCTTTGACAACCTCGCAGGCTACAGCGCGCCCTGCTTAACAATTTTAGAACTTCGCTGTGAACGCTTCACCGATGCCGCAGCAGTGTGCCTCGGCCAGCTGGCGCTGCCGTCGCTGCGTGTGCTGTATCTGTGGGTGACCTCGGGGCTGTCGCCACCAGTCACGCTAACGGCACGCGGCGTGGCGGCGCTGCTTGCGGCAGAGGGGCTCACAGGCAGCCTTCAGGAGCTGTGCATCACGCAGCACAACACAAGCTTAATGAAGGCAGACGCTGTGTTGGCGGCGATTGCCCGCACGCCTCTGGCAGCCTTGCGCACCCTCATAATAAGAGAGTGCCGGCACACAGACGCGTCGATAGCTGCAGTGGCGAGCGCCAGCTGGGCGTTGCAGCTAACCTATCTTGAATTCAGTTCCGTTGATGGCCGCTTCCACCGCAAGGGGGCCGCGTGGGGGGCGCTGGCCGCCGCACCCTTGGAGTCGCTGCGGGAACTTGACCTGCACTTCGAGCCTCGCATGTCAGCTGGGGTCGCGGCACACCTCATGACTGCGTCCTGGCTTTGCAGCCTGGAAAGGCTCTGCTTATCTGGCTTGAGCAGGGGCGCTTTTGAGGTGCTGCAAGCCACCGCCACGTTTGCAAGCCTGCAGGCTTCGCAGCGCGTAGATGTGTCCCAAGTGGAAGCAGAGCCGGCTGCTGCGGCACTTGCGGCCGGCGCCGCAGGTTGACACTGCCAGGGGGCAGCGCCCGCCTCCCCGCCAGCCCCCGCCGGCTTGCCTCACTGGGCGCTGCTCGCCCGCTGGCCGGCTGCCACGCAACCTCTTTCTATTCAAAGGCACTGCCTTGCACAGCGTGCAAACACAGTGAATGACCACGTTTATACACTACCGCATTTCTGATCTTCGCTGCATGTGAATCATTTAGTGAGGCCCCCTCCCCTTGGTGCTTGCCCCCGCCCGCTAGTGAGCACGTTGACGCGCTTTTGTTGGCTGTCCAGCGCGTCAATCGCCTTGTACGCTCTCTCCCATCTAGTTGTGGCGTGGCTGCGTTGTGTGGCATCTGCAGCAGTGCCGCGGTTCCCAAGGCGGAGTGGACTGGCGCTTTGCACACGTATGCTGCTTGTTTAGGCGTCGCGGCTTGCAGTGCCAGTCAGACCACCTGTGCTGAGCCTGCAACGCATCCCAACCTGGTGGGAGATCTGTAAGCATTCGAGCTGTGGCAGGCGTCTTGAACGGACGAAAGAGTTGACCAGGATTGACTGTGCATGCTCCGTGCCTTGTCCGTTCCATGTTATTCAATTTCATGCCATGTTTCAATGTAGTTGAGGTATATTCCTATGTTGCAATGCAGTTCTCGGGCGAACATCTCTCAATTTATCAAAAGATCTGGGCCAGATCGTTGCAAGCTCGTCCGGACAATTTCACTACTTCATATGTAATCATATACAGCATTACATTGCTATCATGTAGGGCGTGCTTCTCGCCCCGTGTGGAACGACAAAGTGTGGCGGGAGCAGGATGCAGCACGCCGTACAGAGGCAGAGTAGCTTCAAGAAGAAGTCGGATGCAATACAAGCTCGATATCTGAGCGATCACGAAAGCGGGCTGGTGAGCGGGGACAGCAGCAGCAGCGGCGCTCAGATGCGCACTGTCAGAACGGTCGCTGCTGATGAGCACACTGTTCACCCGTCTGTGCAGCTCAACCACACAGCTGGATTTCACCATCAATGTGGTGCAGGCATCAGCTATTCATGACAGTCTCAAGAGCCTGTTTGCTGAGCCGCAACTACCCGACAAGTGCGTTCGGTCTGTTGTGCGAGCGCCTGTCACAAGAGCCAGTGATGACCTCTTGTCGGGAAGAGCGAAGCGACTCGCGATCCGATGCGTAGCCCCTTACGACCATAATTGATCACGGAAGCAGCCCGGCCGCTAGCTTCTGCCATCGGCAAGACCGCGCTCCTCATGCGGCCATCTCTGCCTCCGTTGACGCTGACTCAACGGCACCCGCCTTCCGCAGCCCCTTTTACTACTTGGCGAACGTCCTATCAGCCCACGTGGACCGCAGCCCGCTGTGGCACATGCCGGACGCGGCCATCGCGGCCGCGATCGACGCCGACAACGGGGCAGAGGTCGTCGACGCCGCCTCCAGGCTGTGCCGCCTGGCGTCGTTCAACAACGCATGGGGGTTGGCGCATGTTCTGCGGCTCGTGTCCAAGGAGGGTGCGCCGACTGGGTCAGGCAACGCGCTCACGGTGCAATATCCTGTAATGGTGCCTCAGATATCATTTACCCCTCTGCATGCACCAATGGTGGCCTTGATAGTCATTTTCGGCACCGAGCCAAGGTCCTGCTGGGCCCCCGGACCCTGTGCTTCTCCAGGCATGCCCGTAATTGGCATTGAACTGCCATCCTCAAACCCCCAGGCGCCACCGTGCTCCAAGATGTCCTCACCAACAGCCTGCCAGACTCCTTTTTCCCGGGCCCCATGCCCTTCAGCACCGATGACGGCTGCACAGTGCAGGTCCTGGCCTCAATACAGGTGGGCGCACGCTCAGGGCCAGCTGCTCGGTGGCTTCCCTGGGGAAGGTGCGCGGGGACGGAAGGGCATCATGAGTGATCGATCCACTTTGCTATCACCACCCCAACTATGGGCATGGTAAGCAAGAACGAGCCCGCGCACGCCTCTAGACCCGTCGCCTTCCCCGTCCTCCCCGCGCTCCCCTTGCCGCCTCGCCCCTCGTCCGCGACCAGGGCGCCACCGCCCTCTGGCGCCCGCGCTGGATCGAGTTTCCCGAGCTGACCGTGCGTGCTGATGTCGTGGTGCGCGCCCCCACGGTCGAGGCGGCCCTGGGCCACTTTGCGGCGCTGCTGGAGGGAGACCTGGAAGATCTGGTCGAGGTGCGCGTGTTTGGGATGAAGGGTGGGTGGAGACGAAGTGAGTACTTTTTTGAGGCGGCATGCAGGTTTGACTCAGCAGAATCAGCGGAGCCGCTCCTTTGTGTCGGCATTTACTTCTCCTTGAGAGGGTTGCGCAGCTTGTCCGTGGTCGGATGATTTTGAATGGTGGTATGAGCGGAGGGATGGGCCTTCAGAGGCGTTTCACCAGAGAGCATGTACTGCTGGACGGCAGAGCTGGCTGGGGATGGGTGGGTTCTGTGGCAGGTGGTTGAACTGGGCAGGGACAGCGGCGGTTGGGTTCTGTGATGAGTACGTAACCTGCGTGGCAGGACGTGTGTGTGTGCGTGCCCACGTGTGTGCGCACATGTGTTGCGCGGTTACTAGTGTGAGAGGCCTCCTAGCGCGGTTTGTGCCACCGATTGCTGTTTCACAGCAGAGACGACTGCTGCAACCTCCAGAGGTGCCACCCTCTCAGGCAGTGACAGGGCTTGCGGCAGACGCCGCGATGCATTCTGTCACAACCCACAATTCAGATTGATGCGGCACCAGCACGGCACCTGCGCCCTTCCACGCAGGTGCCTGTCTACTTTGTCGAAAGCCTCCACTTCATTGACCCCGCCGCCGAGATGGGGCGCACAGCAGGCGAGCAGGATGCGCAGGGTCACACGCCCCATGGGGTGCAAGAACCGGCGGGATGCACCGGGGGCGCCAGGCGCGGTTCCGCCTGCTGCGCCAGATCTGGAGGAGGCCGCGACTCGCGCTGGGCTCCTAAAACACGGTTTCATCCGCACTCATATGGGCCTGTCAAAACCATCACCGCGTGTGCGGGGACATCATTCATCCGCAGCGAGTCAGGGCAGGGGCCCGGTCCTCTCCTCGCTTGCCGAGGCGGCGCCCCCGATGTCTCTCGAGGCGCTGCGGGCGGCGCCAGAGGCGTCCCGGCAGACGCTGCAGCGCTGCGTTTTGGGGGGCTGCTGCATCGAGGTGCGCCATACGACCAGGAGAAAGGGTGGTCTGCCACCCGCCTGCCGGTGCCCCCAAACCCCCAAGGCGTTTAAGTGCATTGCACTGCTTGCGAGGCTTTGGGGGCGATGCAGACACTGCCAATCCGCGCGCTACCCAGCCCTTCACACGTTGCCCACACACACCGTATGCATGGGCTCAGGTGCGGGGCGTGGTGATGCTGGAGGCGCCACAAGACGCCCGGGACATCAAAGTGAGGTCGGCAGCTGCCGGGCAGCTTCTGGGCTGCTGCGTCGCCAACCTATCAGCTGTTGACCAGCGCTGTCCCATCTGTTGGCCTGCGCTCCATCTGCCCTCTGACCTGCAGCTGCCGCTGCGCCAGCTCCACCCCTGTAAAGCTATCTGGTTGCTCCTCTTGGACATGTAAAGCCCTCGCCAGTGGACACACGCGCCCGAACAACTACCCCATGCCTGCACTTTGCAACTCCAACAAGCGCACAGGTGCGCAAGGTGCGGTTCGAGGCCGCAACCAAGAGGTATTACCTTCATTACATATTCAGCGGCCCGCAGCCGGCAGCCGCAGCCGGCGACCAAGCGTCGCCCGGCCAGAAGTCTAAGGCGGGCGGCGCACGGGGCCGCGGAGGTAAAGGCAGCCTTCCGGCGATGATGGGCACCAGGGAGGCGATGCTCAAGACGCGGCCGGCGCACTATGGGACAGCGGCCCCGCACGAGGCGCTGTTTGAGGGTTTCTTCCTGGACCCCGGCACGGCGCGCCAGTACAGCGCCCTCTGGACTGGCGAGTACGGGTGAGCGCACCGAGGAGCCGGGCCAGGCTGGTGCGTGGTCTGCAGCTCAGGGTCCAAGGTTACGTGTGCACACCCACCTGCGGCGAGGTTGTGCGTATCATGCTCGCTTAAGTGATCTTGCCGGGCAGTCCGTTTATTGCACCAAGCCACGCCTGATGGGTTTGATAAAGCGGGTTTCCTCCGCGCTGTTTGGCCCCGCCCCTTGCTGGCGGCGCCGGGTCCCAAACTTCTGTAGGGACCCATACTCGCTGCCCTGCTTGGAGGCCAACGCGGCCCGCCTCATTGACCTGGTGGGCCGTTAGATGAGAGGGCGCCCCACGGATGGTCTTGATTGATTTCAAGGCGCCCTGCAATATGGCTGCGCTGCCGGCGACCAGATGCGCCTACAAGTGCAAGCGTACGGCCATTGTGGGACAGAGGGGACTGACCGCCAAGGTTGGCGCCCCAGTCCTCAGCCAACCTGCTCACGAGGTTCACTGGCCCTGCAATGGCGGCAATCGCAGATCGAGGCGAGCTTGCGGCAAGGGGCAAACCTGGAGGGCTTCCGGCGGATGCTGCTCCTGGTGCTGCTGCAGGTATGGCTTGAGGCACACGGCATCTCAGGCATCCGGCCCGCCTGCACATATTGTCAGCACCCAGCGCTTCCGTCGAACGGCGCACTCTCCTCGCGTTCTACAACCGATGCAGATGCAACGCCTGCAAACTTCTGCCATGCTGTGTCAGAGCTCACCGCTGGCACAGCAAGCTCAGTGCTCGCCCCTACTAGCCCACTCGCCCGCCCTCCCCCGGCCACCTCACGTGCGGCCAGGACCGCTCTGCGTGCGCCCCGGGGCCGCCGCGGAACCCTCCGCCCCTTGCTCCCCTGGAGGACCTCGTGATCCCGCGGTCTGGGGCGTCTGAGATGGGTATGGTCCTGAGCACCGCCACCAACCTGCTGCGCATGCTCAACTCTGGGGCGGCGGACATCTCGGGTGCGTTGGAGAGGGTGCATAGGGTTTGATATGTTAGCGAGGATGGGTGGATCCTCCTGGGATTTGCAGTGTTGTAGTGCAGCGTGTGTGTGCTGGGGGCCTTCAATGGGATAATGAGTCTTGTAAAGTGGGAATGTCACCCTGAACCGTCTGCATGCGCCTGACACGAGCTAATGCACGCGTGTTTTGCCCAGGGGTGGTGCGAGAAGTCCAGGCGGTGCTCATGGTCGCGCGCCTCTGGCCGCCAAGACGGCTGCAGCTGATCGAGCAGGGGGAAGCGGCGATGCGCGGGGAGGACGGCGCCCCCGCGGCGCGGGGCTCGGCCGGCAGCCGGTCGGACGCCGGGCCGGCGGCGCGGCACTCCAGCGAACAGCACGCGGCAGCCGGCCAGGGGCGGCGCGCGTCGCAGCTGCACCTGCAGCAGCAGAGGCGCTTGAGTGGTGCGGGGGTGCGGCGCCTCAGAGACGACGACGACTCGACGCCTCTGGCCAGGTGATCAGGTCCTGGGTGTCATGTGATATGCTGGGCCGCTCTGCGCCGGGGCTGTTGTTGGCTGCGCTGGGGAGGTGACGTGTCTGTTTGACCTTTGAACTCAAAAACATGTCAGGGTGTGTTCCACCAAGGAGGGTGCTGTTAGTGCGCACCTGCTTGTGCGCCGCTCGACGTTTGCCGCTCCGCTTGCTCCTACCTGTTTATCTGCCCGGCTGCCTGATCTGCCCACTAACACCAAGCTCTGCATCGCACCCCTCGATCATATACCCAAATCCAGGCTGGAGTGGCTCCACAAATTCCAGATGGAGGCCAAGCTGCTGGAGCAGCTGACACAGCTGGCGCCCCGCATGAGCGCCAGCAGCGGCAATGGCACCTTTGCAGGCGCGTTTGCCCTCCAAGCCCCAGCCTGCGACAGCCGCGTCACGCGGGGCTTAAAAATTTCTCGTTGACGCTGCAAACCTGTGCAGCCCAGCAAAACGAAGAGCTGCACACAGGTTAATGTGTGGACGCTTGTTTATCTTGCAGGCATATCCACCGTGCTCGAGGAGCTTGTGCGGCAGCTGCCCATCGCGGTGCCGCCCACCGCGGCGGAGTGCCAGGCGGCCATCAGCGCGGCGCAGCCAACGGTGCACACCCTCCAGGTGCGGGGCGCCGGCTGGCAGTCACAGTGGGTACGATCAGGCATCCCATCTGCGCAGAGGCATCCCCTGGGCTTTGGTGAGAGGTAGCCCTCTTCCAGAGGGAGCCACATGGCTGCATGCCACAAAAGAAAGCAGTGCATGCATCACTTACTGTGTCTCGAACATGAGCAAGATACCATGTTCGTCCTTGTGTCTCAAACACGTCCTACCCCACGCGCCCCCACCCATGCCGCCCCGCCCACCCATGCGCCCCCACCCATGCGGCCCCGCCCATGCGCCCCCACGCAGCGCCTGATGGAGGCGACAGAGCTGAGCCTGGCGGACGGCCTGCTGGACCGCTGCCGCGACGTGGCCTGGGCCCTGCACAGGCAAGCACCCCCCTTACACGCTGGGGCAAGACCCATTCTGCGAGCACGAGCGCGAGTGTAGGCTGCAAGGCTTTCGGACACGCCTCGCCGTCGCCGAAAGACGTGTGGAGGCGCTGGCGCGCCCAGCGCCTGACCAGGAATGTGTGATTACTTGGTCGCCGCATGCTTGACTCGGCATCCTGTTTTCGGCTCTCACATGGTGTTCATCAACCACGTGCCAGGTTTGGCATCAGGCTGGCCGACTCGCTGATGGCGCGGTCCTCGCACTCTGTCGTGGCGGAGGAGGGCGACTGGGCCACGCCGGACTGGGTGCTCGACGTCCGTGCTGCCACCGACGCGCAGGTGTGTGTGTGTGTATGTGCGTGTGTGTGTGTGTTTGTGTGTGTGTGTGTGTGTGTGTGTTTGTGTGTGTTTGTGCGTGTGTGTGTGTGTGTGTGTG